GCGGCGGGCGGCGGGCGGCGGGCGGCGGGCGGCGGGCGGCGGGCGGCGGGCGGCGGGTTGGGCCGGACTTCTGAGCACCGCCCCGCAGGGCCTCGGTGATCAGGGCGTCCGGGGCTCCGCCGCGCGGTGTGGACGCGCCGGGCTCGTCCGGCAGGCAACCTCGCTTTGCCGGACTCCGGCGAGGTGCAAGGAGGTCCCTCCAGACTGGCAGCGTCCTTTACCGAGTGCTTACTGTGGGCTTCGTGCTGTGCTAAGCGCTGTAGATGCACGATTTCAGTTATTTCAAACAATCTTGTGAAATAGGTGTTGTTATCATCCCTGTTTTACTAAATTGGAAAGCGAGGTTCAGGGAGGTTACATGGCCCATCCGGGGTCACACCTACAGTGTTTGTGAGCGTTTTTTCGAAGAGCAATTCTTGTACACGACCCAGCAGTTGGACTTCCAGGTATACATGCAAGATAATTGAAAACCTATCCCCACAAAAACCTGGACATGAATGTTCATGGCAGTGCTGAACGGAGAAACAAATGGCAGCCTATCTATGCGGTGGAATGTTATTCAGCCGTAAAAAACCATGGAGTACTGACACACGCCACAACATAAACGAGCGCTGAGAAACATGCTAAGTGAAAGGAGGCAGTCACAAAGGACCACACGCTGTATGATTCTGTTTGTACTAAATATCCAGAACAAGTAAATCCACAAAAAACAGAAGTAGATCTGTGGTTATCAGGAACTGGAGGAGGGAGAAGTGAACAAGGACTGCTTAATGGCTATGGGATTTTGTTTTGGGGTGCTGAGAATATCCCGGAATTAGACAGTGATGCACAGGTTTGTGAATAGACTAAAAACTACTGAACCGTACACTTGAAAGAGAAGTTTATGGCATGTGAGTTACATCTCAATTTTTAAAGAAAGGAGGATTTAACGTGTACATTTCAAATGCAGAGATCAATAAGGGGATGGTGTTGAGTCTTGTTACTACTGCATTAACATTTTCCAGTAGTAATCTCCACTTTGTTTCTAGGTCACCTTGACCTGGAAGGGATTTGAGGAGTCCTGTTAGACTTCAGACAACTGAGTTCCAGAGTGCATGTGTTGGGACCAAAGCCTGTTTTTCTGTTTCTATATTGTATGTATTTCCATAAAGTTTGGCCACAGAACAGGTCTAATGGACTGAGTTCAGTGCCACGGTCTGTGTCTCCTCTCTTTTCCTTTTAGGGAATTAATTTGACAGCACGCATTGATGGCTCTAAAGAAGTCATCGCTCTCACTGGATTCCAGTGAGAGCGACTCTGAAGAGTTGCCAACATTTGCCTTCCTGAAGAAGGAACCGTCTTCATCAAAGAGGAGGCAGTCTCAGAGGGAGGAGAAGATTGTTGTGGTTCACACCTTGGATTCTGAGGCCTCCTGTCCTCCGTCACCAAGGTTGAAAGATGTACCACCTACCCTGGACACAGCTGAATCCATCACACAAACAGAGCCAGTGAGGGTGCTAAGCAGTGGAAGTGAGGATGAGGTAGAATTAATTCCCCTGGCCGAGAGGCTTGCATGTAAGTTTTTGACCCACAAGCCACTGAGCCCTGAGGACTCTAGCTCCCCAGTTAAAAGTGTATGGGATCATCAAAATAGTGAAGGAGCATCCTGTGACTGGAAAAAAGAACCCTTTCCAAAGGTCCCTGATATTCCCCTCCGTGACACCTCAAAGAGATGTGCATCAAATAACAAGGACCCTGCGAGAGACAGTCCATGCCACCAGCTTCCAGCCTTCAAAGCTACCTGCCCTATCCAGAACAGCAGCTGGACAAATGCTGAGGTCCCCCCACTTCAGAAGAGAACCAAGCCTAGCCAGGAGGTCCAGAGGAGCAGCTCGCGGGGACGCCAGCCGCGGAGACGAGCAAGCCCGAAGGAACGCGCCCTGGGACAACAGGAGAGGACCAAGAAGGCAGCCGTGGCTAACAGGCTGAAAGCTCAGAGGCCCGAGGAATGCCTAAAGCACGTGGTCGTGATGCTGGATCCAGGTCCTCTTAGCATCTGTCTTCATCCCGTGCTGGGGTCCCCACTTTCTGGGCCAACCCCTGACTGCCCCTCTCCCGTCATTTGTTGCAGTGCTTTTGCAGATGGAAGGGGGAGGCCAGCTCCTCGGGGCACTGCAGTCCGTGGAGTGCCAGTGTGTGATCGAGGCCCAGGCCGTGCCCTGCAGCATCACCTGGAGGAGAAGGGCTGCACCAGCCGAGGTAGTAGGTTTCGGGCTGATGTCTCTCCTCCCTCTTTGAGCTCCCTGATAAATGCCCTTTCGTTCTAAAGAATGTTAGGGTCCCAGCAGGAAAACAACTGGCACACTCAACTTAGGATAATTTGAGGAAGATGTTAGAAAGGAACAGTGTCCTAAAGCATGGGCAGGTTATAGGGCAACTACAAGGGACGACATGGCTTCTCACGGTAATGACAACACCAGCTCAGGGTTTCTCCACCTCAGATACAGTCGGCATTTCAGATCGGATAATTCTCTGTTGTGAGGGCTGTTCTGTGTGGTGGAGAATGTCGAGCAGCCTCCCTGGCCTCAGCCCACTCGATGCCGGTGGCACCCTCCTAGTCCTGATACTCCGGAATGTCTAGAAGTTGCCAAACGCCCTTGTGGGGAAAAATCGGCCCTGGTGGAGGACCACTAGCATGTTTGTTACCATGCTTAGGCCTGGCGGGATGAGGGGAGGAGGAAGTGGTTACCAGAATCCAGAAGGAGAAAGAAATGTAGAGAGGACCCCCTTGAGAGAAGCTTGACCTTCTATAGAGGAACATAGCAAACCCTAAGTGACCCATTTCGAGGGAGCTAGGGAAACGACCTCACTCCCCCCTCCCTTTTTCCCTCCCTCCCTCCAGTCTCCTGTTGGGTTTCCCACCCACCATTCCCACTTGGCCATTTGCACCGGAGGACCTCGTGATGTGGTCTCCTGCAGAGAGCAGAGTGGGAAGAGGGAGAGTGGATCCGCGGGGCAGAAGAAAGATACTCTGTAGGATTCCTGGTTCTAAATGGGCATGGCAGGCTTGTGCTTGAATCTCAGGCCCCACAGCTTTATGGCTATGACCCTGGGCAGATTATTTCATCTCTTTGTGCCTCACGTGTACGAGGACACTGTTGCATCCCTCTGGGTGCGCCATGTCAGGGGACTGAGGTAGCCAATTCCGGAGCTCAGAGTAGGCACACAGCAAATGTTCTTTCCTTGGCCCTGAGGTTTCTGCAGCTCCTTTGGCTTCCATTCCTCTTATCTGCGAATCCAAAATACTCCACCCCTCATTTATAAGGTTCTCTAGATGAAACATTAAGATTTTTTTTCCTCGCTCGGGATACCTGGGTGGCTCAGTCAGTAGAGCATGAGACTTGTGATCTCGTGGTCATGAATTCAGGCCCCCTGTTGGGCATAGAGACTGCTTAAAACAAAATTTTTCCCCCTTATTTGGATCTCATAATTTTTTCAGTAACTTAGGGCAATTGGACGCTTTTTAATTTGGGGTATTAGCAAATCTTTGTATTCATATTGCCGTTACCTTTCAAGGCGCTCCCGCATCCTCCCTCCCGTGTCCGTGGCGGTTCTCCCACACGGAGGGACTTCTCACCCCGCATCATGGGCGGGGAGGCAGGTGGGAGAAGTTGAAAGCTGTGTGAAGGGTCCCAGCCGATCGGTGGCTGAGCAGGAACTAGAGGCCCCGCTCCTCCCGCTGCACTTGGTTGTATTATGGGTCTCAACGTTTGCTTATAGGGACCTAGTGAGAAGACCCTCCCCTGCTCCCAGTCCCTCATACCGCTGCGGGCATGTGTCGCAGGAGGCTGCCCCGTGGCAGTGGTGAAGAGGACGGGCCCTCCCAGGCGGCAGCTCCCCTTGTGGCTCTTGTCTTTGTCACACACAACCTGTGTGTCTCTAAGGGCCACTCAGCTCCTAGTCAGCCTCTGCCCTCGAAGGCCAAGTACTTTTTTGCACAAAACCCTCTGGAAGTTTCCTTCCCCCGGTTCCTCTATCCAGAGTGCACAGGAACATTGGCAGTTTTCAGCCCATTTCAACTTCCTTTCTTCACTGCCTCTGAGACGTGGCACACCAAGGTTGGACAGTTGAGGACTGGGGAGGGATGGGATCACGGATTATTTTTTGCCACCAGGCTTCATTCCAGAAGAAAAAGAATAATACAAAAACGGGCTTGGCTGATGCGGGTGTGTTCATTCACCCCGAAGGCCTGGGTCTCTCTCACAGGTGCTGAGCACCTGCTGACCCGCCTCCCTGTGCTGGGTTCCGGGTCCTTTGGCAGGATGGACAGGAAGACTGGGTGGAGGAACCGATGGTCCTGGTGCTGCTCCCGGCAGAAGCGTTTGTGTCCATGGTCCGGAACTTCAAGCAGGTGGGCAGAGCAGGGTGGGCACCCAGGCATGGGACAGAGAACCACCTCTAGGGACCGGATGTTAACGCAGCATCTGCCCTTCATGCAGGGAAGTGTGGGCGGTCCTGAGAAGGGGAAGGAAACACTGCGGAGCTTTGTGACCAACACCACGGCGAGGGCAGCTGGGAAAGCTCTGTCCCTGGTTATTGTGGATCAGGAGAAATGCTTCAGGTTTGAAGCGGTCCCCGAGACTTAGCATGTAAAGGGGCAGCTCCACTAGGGGGACGTTACTCATCCCAGATCTGGGTCCTCCCCAATAAGCCCTTCTGCTGAGCTCAGCCTGGAACTGCTGCTCTTAATTTCCTCCCCTGTTCTAGTGCTCCAAACCCCTCAAGAAGAAGGAAGCGGGGAGTGGCAGATAGGGAACAGGCCAAGGAGAAGCAGCAGAGACGACCAGAGGCCAGCGCAGGGCATGTGGTGTCCAGAGTAGACGTGGAAGAGGTAAGAACTTCGGGGCTCCTACTCTTATTGAACTCGATTTGCTCTAGATCAGGAGCAAGGTGCCCGCTGGACACGCCTTTCTGCCTTGGCACTGAGTAGGAGAGAAGGGTTAGAACAGGGAGCCAAGGGGCTGGGGTGCAGGTTCGGCAGGCGTGAGGGAGGAGCCTCAGACAAGCTTCCCTCCGCCCCTCCAACCTGTCCTGCTCTTGCGGGGGTAGGCGCTGGTGGATCTGCAGCTGCACACACGAGCCCAGGCCCGACTGGTGCAGACCTGGAAAGAGCTGGCTGACTTCGCATGCGCGTTTACCAAGGCTGTGGCTGAGGCACCCTTCAAGTGAGTGCCATGAAAGGCTCGCGCCCCCTGCTGAGCCCCACCGTGTCCTCTTCCCCTGAGCTCTGCCACCAGCCGTTGTCTGTGAGGCTGGCGCTGGGCAGAGCCAGCCTTGTGCTGGGGATGCTGGTGAGGAACCTTCAAGCCCAGTCCCTTTAAAACACACTGCACCAGCTGCTCTGTAAGTTCATGTCCCGTAGGCTGGTGCTGGGTCACCTGTGAACCAGGTTACCGGGATCCGCCCCCAGTCAGGTCACGATGTTGTAAGTTCTCGTAAAACAAACTTTCAGCCTACTGAGCTCTGGGAGTGTTCATGGTCAGAATTAGTAGGGGAATTAGTAGGAGATCTCAGTCTAGTCCAAGTCTCTCATTTTCTACCCAAGGGACCAGAGGCCTGAAGACTGCCTCGTCTGAGCTCTTAGCAAGTTAAAAGTGGAACCAGACTCCCAGGTGGCCTAACACCCAGTCCCTAGTGGCTATCCCTGTGCACACTACCTCTTGTCCATTAACCCAATGTCAACATGGGAAACAAGCTGATACCTTTCTGGCACCTTCTCTCTCAATGAGAAGGATGAGATGTCATTTTTAAGGGAACCAGCAACTAGCATGGCTTGGGAACAAAGTGAGTGCCCAAAGAGGTGCTTGTGAGGGTCGGTGGAAGGAGGGTGTTTAAGTTCCCAGCGAAGGGAACAGGTGGAGTGACGAGTGACTCACAGTTCTTCAACTGCCGTTCACAGGAAGCTTCGAGACCAAACTAGTTTCTCCTTCTGCCTGGAGAGTGACTGGTCTAGAGGGGCAAAGGTGGACCGCGTGGGCAGGGGACTCATGCTGGTGTGGAGGAGACAGATTCAGCAGCTGAACCGAGTCAGCCTGGAAATGGCCAGTGCCATCGTGGATGCCTATCCCTCCCCCCAGCTCCTGGTCCAGGTAGGCTGCTCCAGTGGTCACCCCCAGCGCCCTGTGGCTTTAGTGGACTCCCCAGGCAGTTTCCGTGGAGGGCACCGGTAGTCAGCAGTGCAGGCCTGCAGAAATCTGAACAGTGACTCAAGGACAGAGGACAGGCTGTCATCCCACCCCACCCCCAAGCTCACTGCCCCCTTATTGATGGTCAGGGGTGACTCTGGGTGGTACAGTATTGAGAGGTCATTTGCCACTTTCAGGCTTATAGGCGGTGTCTCTCGGAGCAAGAACGTCAGAATTTGCTCGCAGACATACAGGTACGCCGTGGGGAAGGCGTGACTGCCACCTCCCGCAGGGTTGGACCAGAGCTATCCAGGCGTGTCTACCTTCAGATGACCGCTCTTCAGCCAGATCTCTCTTTAGACGGTGCGGACTGAGGCCAGCCCTGGGGAAGCTGGAGATTTGCACCTCACCGAGCTCAGAAGAGGACCATGGGAAGAGGCTGGAAGCACAAGCCTGGGTCGGGCTCACAAGAGACTCCTTCCCGAGTGTCAGAATCTGCAGTCTCCCTGACACCTTGGCACAGGCAGCTGAGGTCTTGTGTTCACCTTCACAAGCACGGACTGTCCCTCTCCCAGGGAAACTCCGCTGCCGTGCACAAGTCACCCTACCCCAGCAGCCCTCAAAACACAAAGGAACAAAGACAGACCACTCAGACACATATTTAATAACTGTAGAAATCCACAAGAACCTCAGCTTCAAATCTCGAGATCATGAGGGAACTTCCCTCAGCGGGCTGGCTGGAGGGAGCCAGGTGTGCCCTGCCGCCCTCTCACCCAGCCCTCCTGCTTGGGGGTCTGATCCCTGGGCTGACTCCCCATCCTCTTCATCTCATCTCACATACTATGTATTTTGTTTCAATAAAGCATTTGTACCAATGGCTCTGGAGCTTGGAGGAAGACTAAGGAATGTGTAGTGATTTCTGAGTAAGGTATGGGTCCCTGCAGCAGAAATGTCTGGGGATGGGGAGAGAAAGGAACAAGTCACTCTTCCAGTCTGAGGACAGTCAGGAGTGGCTGTCCCACCCAGATGAGCCACAAAGGCTGAAAGCTGGGCCCCACCTTCTGTCTCTGCATCATGACCGGATCTTGCCCTCCTGAGGGGGAGACAAGCAGCCTACAGTTGGGAGTTTCAGCGAATGAGCACCATGGCGACCACACCTTATCCCTTCCTCTGGCTTCTGTGCAAGGAGGCCACAGAGCAAGAAGGGGCTGCGTCTGACAGGCGGGAGAACACAGCCCTCCCCTTCTCTGCACTAGCTGTTTGTAAACGCGCCACTTTCCAACTCCATGGTGCTACTTGTTTCCCTTCGTTGAGGTGGTTCTAGGTCGAGACCCAAACGCTAAACCTCCAGCCCTATGAAACTTGAGTCTGCGGGCTGCCTCTGACTTTGTCACACCGATTACCGACAGCTGTCTCAGACAGAATGGCTTCGTGACGGTCCACCTCCTTGTTTACTGGCAACTAGGGAGTTAATGCTCTAACAGAGCCAAGGAGCCTGGACCGTTTTGTGAAAGCCACAGGAGTGGGGGCAGGAAGCCATAGGAGCTGCCCCAGACCCTCCTGGCTGGGAGAATCCTATTTGTGGGACACAGAGCTGCCTACCGTCCCGAGAGTCTGCACTCCAGCCGAGAGACGCTCGGTTCCGGGGTGAGTTCTCCTCTCTCCAGACGTTGTTAAGGAAGCAAAGTGATGGAAAGAGAGGATACTGGAGTGGGAGTCTAGTTCTGCCTCTAACTAGCTGGGAGACCGAAGGCAAGTCATGGAAGGCCTCAGTTTCCCTGTCTGCACGTGTTACTATTGGAATGGATGGTCCTGAAGTCCCTTTCACAGCCTGAGATTTTGTATGGTCATTAAAATGTCTGAGGTGCTTAAGAAAATAGGTATACCCTCCCCCACCCCCCAATTTAGGCTAGATTTGCTGAGTACGGTGTTCCCTTCGTCCCCAATATCGCACTGCCTCCTGATCTGCCCTGGCTACGCAGGGAGGAATGAAAGAAAGGGTTTGTGACATACAAAAGTATAAATGTAGTGACAGCTGACCTGATCGTTTAGTAGAAACGAGCCTTGCCTTTACACAGCTTTGTGCAACAACTAGAAAAGGCCGTTTTTTTCCCTCTGCCCACCCCAAGCCTATTCCTTTAGGCATGCAGGTAAACTGTGCCCACCTCCCACTTCTCATTCCACCAGGGAACCCTGACTAAGGAACAAAGAAGTCCTACAGAGAGGAAATCTCAAGTACCAATCAGCAGCCATTGGATGATGGCAGGTAGGTCTGACGCTAAAAAGAGGTTTGTGTCCAGCAGAACCCAATTCCATAGGAATCCAAGCTCCAAGGCTGGGAGGCAGCAGGTGTCGAGGACAAGCTCACTGCTGAGACTCGGTCTGCAGCACCCACTGCAGGATGTCGTGGCCGCGCAGCCCACGGAGCGCATTGTCGTAGATGGTGTTCACGCTGGCGCAGAGGGGCTGCCGCCGCAGCTCGGTCACACGACAGGCCACCAGCCCGCCGGCCGCACACAGCAGCAGCAGCAGCAGCAGCTTCAGCACGGCCCAGGCCCTGCCATGTCTCCGGGGAGGTGGCTTGCGGGGCCGAGAGCCAGACTTGGACTCTGCAGGGACAGAGGCACGCAGATAGAAAGTTCCATCAGTCTGAGGAGATGCGCACTCTACCCAGCGACGCTCATCTCCCCGCGTGGACCCGCTCCCCACTCTTCCACAATGAAGACTCCCAGGCCCCGAAGAGAAACTTTCGGGAACATCTGAGTTCTCATACACTCTGCTGACATGGAGACTGAGGAGAAGTCCTCCCCCAGTGGCTCTCCAGGGAGCTTGCTTGGAACTACAACTCATTCCGGGTGCCTCACGCAGCTCGCGGTCCCTGGGGCGACCTTCGGGGTCAGGGGACGGGCTTTTCAGGGGGCACTGAGCATGGGTAGGGTGCTGCCCATCTGGGGAAACAGGCCAGAGATCTGTTATTGTTGCTCGTGTCCTTATTCTAGAAGAGGAGGCACATAAAAAGAAAGCCCAGGGGCACCAGGGTGGCGCACATCAGTTAAGCGGCCGACTCTTGGTTTCTGCTCAGGTCACGATCTCAGGGTCATGGGATCGACCCTCGCATCGGGCTGCGCCCTCAGGGCAGAGTCTGCTTGAGTGTCTCTCTCTCCCTCTGCCCCTGCCGCTGTGGGCACGCTTGCTCACTCGCTCTCTCAAATAATCTTAAAAACAACCCGGGACGGTGAGCTAGCACCCTGTCAACAGTGACTGCAGCTGGGTGTGGGGGATTACAGGTGATTGCCATTTTCTGAGACATATATGGAACTTTTTTAGTTCTCTGGGATGAACATATATATATTACTTTTCTAATTTTCTTTTTAAATTGGTTTTGAGATTGTTTTAAACCAAACTTTAAAAATCTTGACGGAGTACCCACATGCCAAGAACTGCATGATCCTGTCACATAGATTTTCTCACTTAACGCTGCCCTTTAAGGAGGCCCGATCCTCGTTTTACACAAGGAAACAAAAAAGTGGCTACGCAACTTGCTCAAGGCCAGCAAGGGCAAGCAGCAGTGCCCCAGGCCTCGGCCCACCCAACAGGGCTCCTTCCGCCCTCAGCTGCCTCTCCGTTGGGGGCCCCCGCTGACCCAGCTCCCTGTTCGGGGAAGGCTCTCAGCCACTTCTGACCGAACACCGTGGGGCAACACAGCAGCAGAGCACCTGCTCCCCAGGATGGCCCCCCACACCCAGCCACCAAACCCTCCAAGCTTCCCCCAGGCCTCAGAGTCTGCTCAATCTGACCACGGGGGCTGCCTCGCACGCTCACTCCTCTGCCCCCAGTGCACCCCAGCAGGAGACCTGTGACTGTGAACACGTACTCGGGGCCTGATTCGTCTCCTTCTTGGGCTTCTTCTCCTGCTCCCGCTTGGCTGCCTTGAGGGCGTCGTACTCCTTCCTCCGGCGCTCCTTCTCTTCGGCCTTCTCCCGCTTCCGCAGCTCCCGCTCCTGAGCCTCCTTAGCCCGCTGCTTGGCCTCCCGCTTCTTCTCGGCCTCTACCGAAAATGCACCCTGAAATGACTACTCGCCCACAAACCTGCAAGAGTGCTTTCCCGAGGAACTAAAAGCTGGGGTTCAGCCTCCCTTCCCTTAGGCCGCAGGTCACATAAGCTGTATCAAAGGGAAAAGGCAGTCTCTCTGCTCTCGGGGAAGCCACTCTCAGGGTTTACTGAATGGATTAAAGGGGTCCTAGCCCCGTGCAGCAGAGAGATTAGGGAGACCTAACAAGGGGCATGGGTGACGAGCTGGGGGGTTCAGAAAGCACACGAATGACAGCCTTCTACAATTCAGCCGTCAGGAGAAGAGACACCGGGGGTGTGGGTTCTATGAGATTCCTATCCTCCCAGCCTCAGAAAGGAACGTGGCATGGGAAGGGCAAGGAAGAAGAGAAAGTGAGTGCTCAAGTTCCCCATGAGAGAAGATGGAAGTGTTTTGCTGAGAAAGCAAGACTAACAATTTGTCAGAGGGTAAACTCCAGACCTCACCTCAGGAGTCTGTGGCGCCTTCTGATTTACTTCACGGTTCAAGTGCATTCACATCCAGTACCCAACTCAGAAATCACCGGCTTCTAAAAATGCACTTCCCAGTGAGTTATTTGGAAGCATGAAGCACATTTTTCCAAAGCCAGAAGGCCACAAATTAGGGAGTTAAAAGTCCCTTAACAGCTTAAAAGCCTATCTGACCCATAATGTGGCTTAAGAGCAGTACGCTAAGTACTGGAGCTTTCCGCTGGTTTTCCACGTACAAACAACCTCCAAGTTCCAGCTGGGCACTGAGAATGCCAAGGGCACTTACACCCAGCCTGGAGAGAGCACATGGCGGCAGGAAGTCAAGCAGCCGTGGCCCAAGGAAACATGGCATCATGGGACCATACATGTTTTTACAGGTGTCACTCGGGCTCCATCTCAGGCTTCGCCTAGAACCAGGACTACACCCGGTCCCTCCCCAACCCCGGGAGTCCTCCAGCAACAAGTGCCGCTGCGCACCAAGCCTTATTCGAGGTGCTTGGGATACAGTGGGGAGGACAAGTCAGGTTCCAGCGCCTAAAGCTTCCTAGAGACGGAGACAAGTGAACAAACCATACATGATGTGTGCCAGAGAGAGAGTAACAGAGATTGTGAGGGAGAGACGGGCTGGATGGAGGCCCAAGTCTGGGTGCTTCTGAGGGGGTTACAGCAAAGCTAAGGGAACCTGTGAGCAGACCTGAGGAAGCACACAAACCCAGCTGTGTAAGGAGCTGAGGGAAGAGCAACCCGGCCCAGCCCCTGAAGCGAGCGCAGCCTCGGTGTGCTCCAGCAACAGCAGGGGCTCGTGCAGCTGGGGCTACCAGCACTCTGTCCCCGGGGTGTGGGGCAGAGCGGGAGAAGCAAGCAGGCTGGGGCCACGGCGAGCTTTGTCAGCCCCGGGATGATGTCTGAATGTCATCCTAAGTTCCAGCAGAAGCCATTAGAATGCTGTAAGCAAAGAGCAGCATGACTGACTTCTGTTTTAGAAAGATCGCTGTGGCTGCAGGGCAGAGGGGGCACGAGTGTGCCAAAAGGCCACGGAGCTGGGAGGCGCCAGGACTGGCTACAGCAGGGGGGCTGAGTCCTGGGGTGGCCTGGCGGGGAGGGAGCATCACACCAGGACTTGCTAACAGACCGGATATTGGAGTAACTGAACAAAGGATTCCTGGCCATCTTTCCAGTTTCAGGCTTGAGCGGGTGCAGGAACGGGGACTGCCTACTAGAGGGGAGCTCTGGGAAGGGCTTGAAGGAGACTGTCTTGACATTATTTAACCTCTGATGCCTCTTAACCCTCCTAGCAGGCTGGAGGGCTCTGGAGCTCAGTGAGCGAGCCAGGCCTGCAGACAGACCCGCCGGACAGAGAGGATGTCATCCACTGCCACACGGTCCCCTGCTGCTCTGCCGCCGCTTCCAGGGACCCAAGCCCCCGCCACAGGGGAGTCAGCAGCTGCAGAAGGACGGGAAGACAGCTGAAGGGGGGATGGCACGTACCTCGTTCTACTTCCAGCCGCCGCTGCCTCTCTCGCTCCTGATCAGCCTGGACAGCCTTCATGTGCTGTAACACCTGCAGGAGGGAGAGAGGTGAAGTGCTGGGAGCCAGGGAAGCCACAGAGCACACGTCCGCTCCAGAGGCTCCAAGGGGCCCCCTGCTCTTTTCAGGCTGGCACAGCCCCAGGCAACGCAGAGCGAAAGAAGGCAATCCCGCCCCTATCTCCCGACTTACACCGCCAGCCTTAGTTGCAGACGGGTCATTCGAGCCCAGGCCACTAAAGCTGTGAGCGGATGCCAACTGGAGTGTATCCAGGGTCCTGCTCTGTAGTTACTGTCACACATGTGGTCTCCCGTCAGCCTCCAGCAGCTCTGCTGCCGAGCCTTCCCACCCTGGTCCCTTATGCAAGCTCCCGGCCTCCCTATCTAGAGAGGCGTCTTCCCTCTCCCGGTTTCAACACTAGGGTCTTGAGGGTGGAGACTGCTGTCCCCTCTGCTGGCTAGACACTCAATACTATGTTTGATGAATGACTGCCTGGCTCCCCATTTCAAGAGGCAAAAAACCAAGGCGGGCAGGGGGGTGGCGGGTAGGGATGATCTGTCCATGTTACATGGCTTCAAAGTAGCACAGCTTAGAGTACAGGTCTTCTGAGCTCCTGAGCCAGAGACTGTCCCACTCATCTCAGCACACAGAGCAAGGAAGCCTCTATGAGGAAGGGAAGCACCATGCAGCCCACCTAGCAGACAAAGCCCTAGTGCCCAGTCCTCGTCCACTCAATCACAGGTGGCCTTTGACTCCGACGGCCCCAGAAATTCTCATTATAGCCACGGGTAGGAGAAGAGGTAAAAGACTTTATTTTTTAGGTTTGTTTGTATCTTTAGAAGCTAGTATCCCTTGGATGTAGAGGACAGTGCAAGCTTAGAGCCCGACGCAATCCTGACTCTACCACTTCCTAACCATGTGACCTTAGCAAGTGACTTCCCCTTTCGGGCTTCCTGCAAGAGCCTGCTTTGAAGCCACGAGGAACCCTGTCCCAGGCCCTGAACCTGCTGCAACCTCTCTGAAGGGAATCAAGCTCACTAAACAATGGCCACTCAACAAGGAGTGCAGATCTGTCGAAGGTCAAGCCTGATGGCGGGAGGCAACCCAAGTTCAAAGTCACCGTCTCACTCTGAACTCCAAATACTAAATAAACACCAACCATTCTGGTGGTTTTAAGGGGTATGCGGGTGGCTAAACAAAGAGCAGAGAGGTTTAAGAGATGTCTCTTTTCACCCGGGCTCCCATACATCAGGAGTTCTATGACAGCTCAGAAATGGGAGCGACACCTCTAGTGTGGACCATGAGTCCAGAAGGGCAGACACCATCTGTCTGTGCCAGTCCATGGCATACAGTAAGCACTTGATAAATACCATCCAGCTAACAAATTTTTAAAAGGTGCTGTACTCTGCTCCAAGCTTATCACTTACTGTGGCTGCCCCGTGCACCCACATAAGGTCAGAGCTAGGGAAGGCTAAGCTAACTCCTGGGGACAAGTGACCTCATTCTGGCTGCCCCAAGCCACTCTGCTATGACGCCTAACAGTGTGCCACACACCAGAGTCTGTGCCGGGCCGTGGTGCCAGGGAGCATGGCTTCAGAGACCATATCCACAAGGCAGTAGCGGGCTCACTCTGGAAGCTGTATGCTAACACCAAACATCTTGGTGCTCAATAAAAATGATCTTTGAGGGGCGCCTGGGTGGCTCACAGGCGTCTGCCTCCAGCTCGGGTCATGATCCCAGGATCCTGGGATCGAGCCCCAGATCAGGCTCCCTGCTCAGCAGGAAGCCTGCTTCTCCCTCTCCCATTCCCCCTGCTTGTGCTCCCTCTCTCGCTATGTCTCTGTCAAATACATAAATAAATAAATAAACGATCTTTGAGGAATATCGGCACTTTCATACAGTTTAACGTACTATTAGTTGAATGAACATGCAGATAAATAAAATGGGTGTGCATAGGGAGCGTTTCGTGTGCCAGGGGAGTGGAAGGGAGCTGTGCCTCCCAGGGCAATGAGGATCAGGAGGGGAGGCATAAAGCACGCGGGACACAGGAGGAGTGGTCGGTCACAGCGCCTGCCGTCCTTCAGAACAGACAGCACTCCTGAGCACCGGGGCCACACTGATCACTTATACTGTTCTCCGCCAAGGGCTACCGGGCCACACTGACCTTGTACCTGGTCTCCTGTGACAACGGGTGGGACATGAGAAGAAACTTTCTAAGAAGCCCTGAACTAATGGTAAGAAAAGAAAGGCCGTTATTCCTGGGATTCACCTAGAGACCCACCGTGCCCCCATTCCACTTCCCTTGATTCTAGCATTTAAAGTTGAAGCGTTTCGAGTCCTTTCTGTTCCTCATGCCTCCTAGACAAGGCCAAGTAAGCCATCTGGTGCTCAGCTGTTCTAAAGCTGGAGGGAAAAAGTGACCGTGGCTGGCATTGAGAGAGATGCAATGCAAGGCGTGGGGCGCCTGGGGGACTCAACTGGTTAAGCGTCTGACTCTTGATTTCGGCTCAGGTAGCAATCTCAGGGTTATGAGACTGAGCTCCGCATTGGACTCCGCACTAAGAGTGGAGCCTGCTTGGGATTCTCTCCTTCGGCCTCTGCGCCTTCCCTCTCACACACAGTCTCTTCCTAAAAATAAAAATTCCTTAAAAAAAAAAAAAGTGCGAGGCATCTTCAGGCCTGTTGGCGATGCCTGCCTTCCATGCTACCTTTAGTTCCTCCTACATCAGACAACTTGACTGAAATCAAATGTCAGATCTGCTCAGGATGTGTCTGCTTACAGGTACAAGTTTACGAATATTAACAACACTTTTATTATCAAAATTCCTACAATACCTGTGACTCAGATAATCTTCTTGTCCAATTAAAGAACTGTCAATGGTGTGATGTGGATTAAGCAAGGTCCTGGTTTCTTTAAGATTTTATTTATCAGACAGAGAAAGCGCACGCGCAAGCGCACAAGCAGGGTGTTCGGCAGAAGCAGAGGGAGAAGCAGGCTCCCCACTGAGCAGGGAGCCCGATGTGGGACTTGATCCCAGGACGCTCTGACCATGACCTGAGCCCAAGGCAGATGCTTAACTGACTGAGCCACCCAGGCGCCCTGAGGTGCCTGTTTCTTAAGAATGGAAGTTCTGCAACAGAGAAGCCAGTATTTTTCTACTTGTAAAGGCAACACAAACAAAGGTCCCTCCACCTGATGGGCCACTAGCAGCCCTATTTCACTGAGACCTCAGTGCTGGAAACCTCGAAGAGCTACAGGTACCCCAGGAGGGGAAGAAACAAGAGGAGGCAGCAGCGAGTCCCAGGGGACCGGGCGGGGACGGCCCCGCGGAGCTCTGGGCTTACCCTGCTGGCACACTGCTTGCACTGCTTCTCATCCAGGCAATCCCCTGCTGCTCTGGCCAGGGCGGGATCCAGGGGGTTATCCTTCAGGTCCAGCCACTTCAGGCTCTGAAGAGACAGGACAGAGAGGCTGCTCAAGCCCGGGTTCACACAGAGCCCCTCAAGCTGAAGGAGCCGGAAGCGAGCCTCTGACTTCCAAGGCGGCAGCACCAAGGTGGGGCCCCTGTGGGCCACGCGCACGGCTGTGCCCCGCCCATCCCCGGGCCCTCTGCCTCACCTGGCACCAAACACTGGTTGGTGAACAGTTACCTTGAGCTGAGCGAAGCTGACAGGCAGGGTCACCAGCCTGTTGTTGAGGAGATCCAGGTGCTGGAGGTTGACCAGGCGGCCGAAGTCAGCCGGCAGCTGCTGCAGTTTGTTCTTGCTCAGGTCCAGCTTCACCAGGTGTGTGAGGCCGCAGAAATCCGCCTAGGACCCAGACACGGAACACCTCGGCCCTGGGCCCACTCCTCCGACGGAGATGCCAGAGCCCTGGAGGCGGAGGCAGCTGCGTGGAAAGCCTGGCCCCACCTGCCCCCAGCTCTTCTGCCTGCAAGGAGATGCGGCCAACGCCCCGCACTTCTGCAGGGGAAGCAGTGAGCTGCTTCCGTCCAAGGACTTGGCACGAAGTCGGCACAAAATAAGTGTGTGCTCCCTCATGCTCCGTGCGCCCTCCAACCCAAACTCCACATTGCTCCTGGAGGGACTAGGGGCCTCTCTGGCCCCCCCACGGCACCCTGTGCTCTCCTTCCACGGGGGTAGTCAAAGCGCATCGGGACCATCCAGTTCCCTAAAACGGAGCGCCCTCAAGCACTCGGGGTTATTCTCTGTTCTTCGCAGCACCTAGCACAACACCTATCTGCGGTACTGCTCCCACCTTGACGCAGAGGCACTGCTCACGCTCTCTGGGGATCTGTAACTGCCAGCCGATCGGCACTGCCAAGGAAGGCACGAACAGCTGAACTCGCTCGGACTGAAAAGCGCGCAGTGGGGGAGGGGGGCGGGGGGACTGCGGACAACGTGCGCGGCGGCGGCAGGCGGCAGGGACTGGCCACCATACTTTCACTAGACACGAAATGCTGCCTAGAAGCAGTGGGATTCTGGATGCTTTCTCAGTGAGAAATGGTTCTTGCTGAGCTGCAGGAAGATGCTAGAGATAATGAGCGAGGCCCAAGGGGAATACTGACAGGGGAACAGACTAATGACCCAAGGAAGAAACTGCCAACTTCTGAGACCCGATCCCGGAGCAGAGCCCAGTGGAGCCAAGCAGGGAGTGACACGGCCAGAGTGACTGCTGGCAAAGACAACAACAGCAACAAACTCGGTCCTGACACTGACGGCATGCTGCTCCGAAGCACAGACCGGCCGTCACCCAGGAGCGGCTAAAGGGCTGAACCACACTGGGGCCTACGCAGATAAAGGACCGTGTACTGAAGACATCGCAAGGCATATGATGGAGAAGGAGAACTGGGAGTTGTGCAAGAAAAATCGAAAGGATCTGACCACAGGCTGGATGTGTCAAACAAAAAAGTATCTCAAGTAATTCAAGAGCTGGGAGAATAATAATACAGTAGTCCCCAAAGCCACATCTTTTTTCCTGTTCCTCATCAGAAGATACGCACGGAAGCTGTTCATAGGCAGCTTTCTCCCTGGAAATCAGAGGAACTTACAGAATGGCCTCTCCTCTCCTCTCCACAAAAGGGAGGGTAAACTATTTTCAAAGGAATAATATAAGGGAGGAAAAAAGATGACCCCACTAAGCGATTCAGCCAGCATTCTGTTGACTTTAGTTTTTCACGGCCTGACCTTCCAACTGTTCTAAAAGAATGAAGCCTCTACCGTGCTTCCCTTCCTGCTGAGACAAACCACCCCACCCCACCCCCAGCAAGCTCCCCTTCAGTCACAGCTTGGCTGCAGGCCTGTCCTGAAATTACGACTCTTAACACATAACACCCTCAAACAAGAAGCATCACGGCTCTGCAAGGAAGCGTGCCCGCCTGCCAGTCTTACCGGGAGACTAGTCAGTTTATTGCAGGACAGGTCCAGCACGGTGGCCTTCGGGAGGGCAGCCTAGGAAAAGGAACGAGAACACAATGTCAGACCAACACATGGAATGGTTCAGTGACATGAAGCCTTCTCCAGAGAAAATTCCCACAATTAGGAAGGCCTTTAAAAATTAGCACTCAAATATAATGGAATAGTAATAATATAACAGCTGCATGTCGCAACATTTACTACCTACCAAGGGTCTTACACTCCGATCTTAATCCTCACAAGCCTGTAAAATGGGAACTATTACCACCATTTTATTAATGAGGAAATCTATGGGCTTAAAGGTTAACCAGCTTTTGCCAAGGGCAGGGACGTGGCTCTTAAGCAATGGAACTGGAATATGGACTGGAAATCTGTTCTAACCTCCATACTACAGAGCCAAGTGCCAAAGGCAAACGTCATTCATTAAGGCAGGAAAGCGTAGGTCACCCAAAGGGACCCCAGTGTGCTGGTGCCGGAAGGAAACCTGATGGGAAAAGCAGGGATTGTGATCTAAGTCCACTTTGGCAACAAACCAGTTTGATTTTCCTGGGACCTCAGGTCTGTTTCCTGGCTGGGAGTGTGAGAGTAGAGGGGTGGTGGGGTGGGCAGCAGCAATTGGATTCCAGCCAGTTGAAGCTGTGGTTGGGAAGAGCACTTGCCAACCAAGCAGTGACACTACACATTCTTCAAGGAAAGATGCCTCAGGGCCGGGACAGCCAGCTGGGATTGCCCTTTTCCTAGATGCAAAGTTCCGGGCCACACCCAGGTCTACCCAGAGGCCTACTTCTCTAGAGGAGTCATTCATTCATTTATTCATTCATTCTCCGAACAGCCAGCAAAAACTCCGTGGGCGCCTACTTGGAGTCAAACTCGGAGCTGAGCGCTGTGAAAGCTCCCGAGATGGGAGGGGAGATTCACCCCTGACCCGTAAACAGCCCAGAACCGAACGGGCAGCGCCTTCTCATCTTCTGGATCAGCGCCAAAGTGACACGTGTACATCCCAGGAAGAAAACTGGGGGCAGAGGTGGACTCCCCGGGAACTAAGTCCCACTCCTTCCACCTAGTTTTAAGATCTGGAAAGTGAGGCGTTGGAAAGGAGGCGGCCCGCACAGAGGCCAGCGCCGTCTCGGGCGACACCTGGGCCTGGCGGGGCTGTACTGACCAGTTCCTTTACGGGGACCTCGTTCAGATCGCTGAGGCTCAGGTCCAGTTCGTTGCCGTCCAGCTTGTCGCGGAGGTTCCCGCCCTTGCTACCGGCCTTGGTCATGGTGACGCCGGCCGAGCGGTCCCGGCTCCGGGGGCTCCAACGGGCAGGAGACGGGCTGAGAAGCTGCTCGTCGATTCAGTGGACTCGCACCCAACCGGCAAGGCCCGCGTCCTCCACCACCGCAGATGCGAGACGCCGTCGTCCGCCCGACCGCCCGCTGCACTCTGAGCCCCGCGCCCCACTCCCACCCGTGCCGCCGCGACGACGACCACTTCCGTGTCCACGTCACCTTCCGCGGCCACTGAGACGGGCGGGGCCAGAGCAGCCCGGGCGTGTGCGGGAACGCCATCTGGCGCCTAGGAGGGCGCATTGCAGTGGCCGCCGCCTTTGGAAGGGTGGCGTTCAAAGCTAGGAGTTCCGTTGCGCAGCCGAGGCGCGGTTTTTTCCCCAATAGCCCAGGGTGCGCTACCGACGCTGGCAGCACCAAGAGGCAAAAGGGCAACGGGACTGGGCGCCCGAAGACCTGGGTTGCATCCAAAATTGATTTCATCAAATCACCCCCATTAACCTGGATTAGAAGCCAAAACTGCAAGTCTTTCAAAATTGCTCCTTGTCCTCTTAATTCCCACATGATCATCATCTGGAAATTTCAGCCTCTTTATCTCTCTGAACTCCTCTTCCCTGCCCCAGCCTCTTGTCCAGGCTGCCTGGATTACTCTGTCTCTCTCCCTGCCACCCACCTCCACCCAACTGCCCAGATGATCGTTCTAAAAATATAACCAAGTCTTTCCTCTGCTTAAAACCCTTCAAACCTCTGGCTACCTCTAGAATATGGACTACTCTCCTTTCTAGACTGGTCTCTGCCTGCTTCTGCAGTCTCCTCACAGTCCCCAGCCCCTCCCTGCCTGGGATGCTGTGTAGACTTCCATTAGGTGGCCTCTGATGTAGGAAGCAAAGGCAAAAGAAAAATTATTAAATTTCCTTACTACTTACAGCCCACTGCTAAGTCCTTAAAACAGAGTGACATTCCTCTCTGAACTCAGCTGCCTCCATGTTAATACCTTGTTAAGGGCAAAGCAAGCCTGACCAGCCCCCCAGCCCTCCACCCTGGCCTCAGGATCCTGTAAGACTGCTTCAACATAAAAAAATTCCTTTGGAAACTTCCTTTATCTCTACCCCTCTACCCCATATACATTGGCAATCATCCCCCAAGCATATGGCCCATCGATATACATCTGAAGGGTCTCATGACTAAGGTTTTATAGACAGTAATAAATGACCTTTTTCCAAAAATAGCTAGCCCCCTCAAGATCCTGGAAACCTGCTTCCAAAATTCCTTTGAGACTTAGGCTATCCTTAACCCCCTCCCAACTTGAAAGTAAATGATGGGCCACTCCTCATGACCCCAGGGCAGCTCTTTCTGCCCACGGGTCCTGTCCTCACGCTTTAATAAAATCATCTTTTTGCACCAAAGATGTCTCAAGAATTCTTTCTTGGCCTCTGGCTTCAAACCCTAAGGTCTTTCTTGCATTCGCCTCCAAACCTTTCTCTTCTCCTGGAGTGGCCTTGCTTCCCAATGCACCTCTTCTTAGCTAATTTTTAGTCCTTCAGGAAACCTCCCCTGACCACCATGAACTCCAGAGCTAGGGGTCCCTTCTTGGGACTCTGATAATGTCCTATGTGCTACCTTACTGTCAGAGGTGATAGGGCGTGGTGCCTAAGACAGGACCTCTGGTTTACCAGAAAGCTTATTAGGTGATTACCATGCTTATTTATGGATAGGTGAGAAATGTGCATAATAACGGTGCCTAGCTGGTAGAGTCTGGGTAGGACTGAATGAGCAAAACACCATGAGCTTACTGTAGTGACTGGCATTTACTAAGTACCTGATAAATATTAGCCATAATTCATAACTTGCCTTGTGTTATACTTATCTTTATGTGTCTGTCCTCCACTCTGGACTGTGAGGGAGAGATTTTGTCTTTGTATCCCCAGTGTCTGAGTGTCTGAGACATGGTGGTTCTCGTTCAAAGGCCTGCTGAATGAAAGAATGAATGAATGAACAAGTGAAGCACTTTACCCACTTCGCACTCAGTTTGCTCATCTTTGAAATGGGCACATCAAAGCTTCTCTCAGAGGGCAACTGTGAAGACCAAGTGAAGTCAGTGGCGGGAGCTATTCATTTCACAAATCCTTGTGCACACCCCTCCCACCCACAACAAGGCACAAGGCACAGTGCTGGGTTTCTGGGTACCAGACAAGGCAATTGAATAATTATACATTAGCACTTGGCAATCTCTAAAGCCCTTGAGCACCCATTATCTCATTGTGATAAACTACAAAAAGAGACTATACAGTGACTTTTATGGTTCTCTCTCTCTTGTCTTTTTTTTAGAGAGAGCATGCACTCATGTGATTGGGTTGTGGGAGAGAATCTGGTGGGGGCAGGGGGCAGGAGGGAGGGGGGCTCTATCTCACGACCCTGAGATCATGACTGACCTGAGCCAAAATCAAGAGTCCAACGCTTAACCCCTTAATCGACTGAACCTGCCAGGCGCCCCTGTTGCCTTTTTTTTAATTAAGGAAGAAACTCAGGGAGAAGTAACTTGTCCTTAGTCACATAGAGGCAGACCCAAACCTTTTGATTCCAAGTCCTGTTTCTTTTCACTACACCCTGTCATCTCTGTCCCAAGGAGCCTACAGTCAAAACAAGTAATTATTATATAAAGTAGAAAGGATAATGGCCCTAACACATACAGACAAAAACCATGCAATGTACAGGGCTGTGTGGGTATGTGTTTGAGAGCGCTAACATCGGACTTACACATTTAAGAGCATTCTGTCCAGGGCTATGATTTACATATGTTATTTATTTTTTATTTTTAAAAGATTTCCTTTATTTATTTGACAGAGAGAGAGACACAGCGGGAGAGGGAATACAAGCTGGGGGAGTGGGAGAGGGAAAAGCAGTCTTCCCACCGAGCAGGGAGCTCCACTCAGGGCTCGATCCCAGGATCTCGGGATCACCATCACAGCCAAAGGCAGACGCTTAATGACTGAGCCACCCAGGCGTCCCTATATGTGTTTTTTTTTTTTTTTTTTAAACTCACAACAACCTTATAAGGCAGACATTATTTCGGTTTTTCAAAGCAAGTAATCAAGGCTCAGAGAGATCAACTATTTAACTATTCAAAGACAGTCACAATAAATAGATGAATGTATTCCATGGAATGTGGGTCATACCCCGCTGTGGTGGAGAAAAAGAGCCTAAAGGAAGGAAGATAGCAGGAAGGCATCTCAGAGGAGATGGCATTCAAGTTGAGCTTGGAAGAATGGGTCAGGTGCAGACAGGCAGAGTCACAGCCCAAGGAAGCCGGGCAGAAGAGTGAGCAACTGACAGCGGCTGTACCTCTGAGAAAGGCTTTTTGTTGCTGTTGTTTTAAATCCCTAAGGCAGTTTGATGAGAAGTGGAGCCTGTCATCTGTGGACAGCTTTTTCCTTGGAAACAATAGACTGGCCCTGGGCTGCAGTCCCCAAACCAAGTGCCACCTTGTGCCTGGATGTCCAGGTTGTTTGGGGAGATGCCAAAGGGAACACAAGCACCATGGCCCTTGAGAAGGTAATGATCAGGAAGAGGGCAGGATATAGTAGCTTCCTGAGAGCAGCTTGGGCATCGGGCCAGCACTGTGACTGTTAGCTCTAGTGTCATCCTGGCAAGTCACTCTACCTCTCCAAGCCCCTGTTTCTCCTTCTGTAGAATGGGGATAAGAAAATGGGTAAGAGCAGGGCGTTTGGGTGGCTCAGTGGGTTAAAGCCTCTGCCTTCGGCTCAGGTCATGATCCCAGGGTCCTGGGATCGAGCCCCACATAGGGCTCTCTGCTCAGCAGGGAGCCTGCTTCCCTTCCTCTCTCTCTGCCTGCCTCTCTGCCTAATTGTAATCTCTGTCTGTCAAATAAATAAATAAAATCTTAAAAAAAAAAAAAAGAAAATGGGTAAGAGTGCCAAGGACCCACACAGAGACACATGTAAGAGCCAAATAGCATTATGCAAGAAGTCAGCTTTCCTTAGAGCAGTTGGGTATGGTCCAGCAGTTGTGGGTTGAAAAAAAGAGACCCAGTTAGCCCTTGAGGCTTGGAGCCCCCAAAGTAACTTTCAAGGCAAATGATCTCTCTCTCTGTGGTTTATTTATCTACATGGACTTGCTTTAAATACTTCCACAAATAGAGAATCATGCCATATTCACCACAAATCTGTCCGTCCCTAAGTAAACTCTTAAACTGATCGCAATCACAATCAGAAATCCCAACAAGATTTTTGTTTTTAGAACTGGGTAAAAATTATCTGAAAATGCATATAACAGGGGAAAAAATCAAAATCATATGGAAGGATAAATGTATAAGAATTGCCAAGAACATTTACTTCGTGAGATTAAAAAATAGCCGCGAGGGTCAGGCCCAACCAGATATTAGACTCGTCCTAAAGCTCCAAACAGTAGAGAATTGTCACAGGCAGGTAGGTATCAGTGGTACAGTATAAAGAACCTAGAAACAAATAAAAATGTATATGAGTCTTTAAAATATAGATAAGATGGCAGTTAAAGTGAAATCCATCCGGGGCAGATGGGTGGCTCAGTCGGTTAAGCATCTGGCTCTCGGTTTCAACTTGGGTCATGATCTTGGGGTCATGAGATTGAGCCCCTAGTCGGGCTCCCTGCTTAGCTGGGGTCAGGGAGTTGGGTCTGCTGGAGATTATCTCTCCCTCTTACTCCCCGACCCCTGGTGCTCTTTCTCACCCTCTCTCCCTCCCTCACTTAAATAAATAATCTTTTTAAAAAATAAAAATAAAGTCAAATCCATCAAAAGGGGAGTGGTTAAATAAACCAGAGTGTATTATGCAGTGGAACATTATGCTGAAGAACTTCCCGCAGCATTAAAGAGAATGAGTAGAACTATATGTATTGACCTGGAAAAAAATGTGTATGATCAAGTAAAAAATGCAAGTCATTGAGTAAGGTAGATGACATACAGCACAATTTCATTAATTTTTTTTTTTTTTACTTTGACATTATTTCAGGCTTACAGAAAAGTTGCAAAGATAGCAGAAAGAATTCTTGGATGCCATTTACCCAGATTTCCCAACTGTTAACATTTAACTACAGACATACACACGTATTTCTAAACTATTTAGGAGTACGCTGTAGACACGATACCTCTTTATTTGTAAATACCTCAGCATGTAGCTCCCTACTTTGAGGAAACCTCTTACATAATTACAGGA